AAATATGTATTCTTCTTTCATCCCTTAATTTAATAAAAAAAATTATGAACATTAATATTAATTTATATTTATAATTTGACCAAAAAATAATTACTACCATTGATCGAACTTGGATGCAAATTATAAAACCCGGCTTTTTTCGAATAGCTGGGGGAATTTTTTTTTACGGCGTTAAAAAATGCTGATTCTAGCGAAAAAAAGAAAATCTTTTCCTTATTCTTCTCTTGTAGTAAATGTATGTAAAATTGAAAATGCTTCGTAGTTTAATAGTTACTATTTTTTTATAAAAAAATTTTCATACTAATTTAAGATATGAGATTAAAATCTTATCTTAATTTAAAAAAACAAATGTATGTAAAACTGATAGCGAAATGAAGAATTTATGTGGAGCCTCTAATTCTGACATTTCAACTACATATTTCTCGAGAGATTTGAAACAACAGCACTTGTAAATCTCTGGCCATATGGCAATGTCTAATGTAAGGGTGGAGGAAAAAACAAGCTTTGCTTTCCCCCTTTGCACGTTCTCTGGCATTCCATAACTGAAACCCTAAGCTAGAGTCTAGACAATAATATCAAAAACCCTACTTGGAGTTAATTATTGGTTCTATTTCTAGAATCAATGCCAGCATATGATTGAACAAGTTTTTATGATTATATAAATGATGGTAATTGATAAGAGGGTATGATTAACAGAAAAGACGGAAACACACCCAGATGATGCCCACATTGTGTCCTATGGTGCTCTGAATTGAATGTCAATTGAAAAATCAAATCTGGAGATGCAATCTGGGGTTTGCACTCTGCAATATTAATGAAATGTGATTGTTCAATTTCCGAAGTTAATTCTCTCTTGAATCGACAAACATATCAAGGTGCAATATATATTTGATCATTTAATTTGACAGCTGAATATAATATATATATATATATAATGTATATTAGTCTTTATTTTTATAGAAGATTAAAGTCTTAACTTCAAAAATATTATTTTTAATGAATATTTTTAAAAATCAATAATTAAATTAAATGTTTCTTTTATATAGATTATGTGTATTAATTTTTAAATTGATCTAATATCTATAATTATTCAATCAAAAAACTTGTATTTTCTTTTCTTTTCTTTTTTTGATGACAAGAAATTTGAATTTTTTAATATATTTATTTAACAGTGATAAATTTTTTATAATGAACAAACTAATTATATATATGTAATCAATCTAAAAATTAATATATATTATTTATATGAATATAATACTAAATTTAATAGTTGGTTTTTAAAAATATTCATTAAAACGTAATATATTTTTAAGTTGAGACTCTAATTTTTTTATAAGAGTAAAAATTAATATGCATTATTTTTATATATATTTGATTTAAAAATCATTTGGTATTATAAACAAAAAAAAATTATGTAACATAAATTATACAATAATATATCATTAAATAAAAATAAATCATTGATAATAAAAACTACTCACATGTAGCCTAAACTGAAAAACATTAAACTCTTACAAATATCTTAGAAAAAGTTTACGCATCTCCTCAATATGATGAAATGCAGATCAACCATTGGGACCAAAAAAAATCTATGACAAATTACCAGACGAGGGACGTAAATATCTTAGAAGAAGAAAAACAAGAGTAATGAAACCACTAGCAGGGGAAATTAATGGACCCATTTGAGTTAAGACTTTGTTTGATAAATTGCAATCATTTCTATGCTCATACGTGGATCAATTGAGGCATCATTTGAACATCTTTTTCCAGTTTCCTTTCTCCTTTATGAGTGGGTCATCATCATGCATACTTTAAACCTACTTTCCCTTTCTCGTAAATAAATAACAAAAATGCTTTTGTCATTTTTTTTCTTTTGATTGGTGGGTTAAATAAGGGGAAGTATCTTTTCCCTTCTCTTCCTTGCAGTTTAATTTCTTGTCTTTCAACTTCCACGTTCCCTTTAAAGTTCCGGCTGAATTATAAGATTTCAACTCTTAAATAAGAATTGTCTCACATTTAAAAAATTTCTCGTTTAATAATTTATAGTGATGCAATTTAATATAATTTAAATTACTTAATATATTTTTATTTTTTTGTATTAAAAGTCTTTTTTTTATGTTAATTACACAATAAAAAATAATCATTTCTCATCTCTTATCTCACTTCACCTGTATCTTATGTGATTCGAATTCATAATCTCTTACTTTCAGCAAAAAGAAATAACTACTAAATTATTTAAGTTATTGGTAAAAATTAATTCTTTATATATTATTATCATAAGTAAACTTAAATTTATATCAATTCAACTAAATTTTCATTGAGAAATGAAAAAAGAAAAAAAATCATTGATGTCTTTTTTTTTTTTTTCCTGATATATTAGAACAAGTGATTTTAGTCTATGAGAGGAAGGAAAAAGAGCATAAATTCAAAGAACTCTTACTATAATAGTGTAAAAAAATTATACTAATAACAAAATTATTTCAACTAACAACACTTTGTGTATTTTAAAATTTTATTAGAGCTCATATTGCTATTTATGTATTCAATTTTCACGAGTCAAATATCGAACGTCATATAGAAGTTGAACATATACAAAAAGTTTTTTTTTTTTAGATAATAACATATACTAAAAGTTCTGTGTCGGTGTGCAGTGAAATAATCCTCTCCTTTTTTCTTTTTCTTTTTTTTTCCTTTTTTTAAGACGAACTGTCAAATAACTCAACCGAATTAGATGAATCAAAATTCCTTTTCCAGTGACTATTGCTAATCATCTTATTAACTAATTAATGGTATTCTCCTTTTGTTTGGATTTCTTTTACCTAGAAAATATTAGGTGTACATATATAATGTGATGTATTATTTTATTATTAATTTTTTTTAGTAAAATAATTATGCATAATAATATATATACAAATATATTTACTTCTTTATTGCTATATCATATTGTATGATTTAGAATATAACATGATATTTTATATGTAGTATGAAAAAAGTATGGTATAATTTGAATTATATTAAATTATATAATATTAATTAATAATTTATATTTTATAATTTAATACAATTTAAATAATAAAATAAGAGATTCATATAGTAATACCAGTTTCTCTTTTTGATGTACCCATTGTTTCAGATTTCAATCAACCCTCCCCTTGTTTGAGGAATATATTTTATAATATAAGATTAATTAGGCTCCAAGACTAGTGTCGTTTTATGCTTACCTAATCCTGATTTGATAAATAATTAGGACACGTACAAATTAAAGGGGCCTCATGGGCCTACATGTTGTGAAAACCCCTTTTTTTTTTTTTAATGAATAATACTCAAGAAAGTTCTATAATTCTCTACACTTTAATAAAAATAATCAAAAGCAATCATATGGAGAGCTGTCACCCATTAATCTTTTGGGATTAGTCTTAATTGGTAGACCAGTGCACTCCGCAATGCCACTCCGATTAGAATGTCCTCTTTCGCAATGTGACGCCTTCTATGAGTTTTCATAGATATATTATTTTATTTATTTTAGTAGTCTTTTTTTTTTATTAGAAAAAAAAAGAGATGATTAAATGTTTTTAAATTAATTTGTATATATTTTAATATTAATATCTTTTTAAGTAATTTTAATGATGAATCCTTATATTTTTATGTAGATTTAAAAAAATTAATTTTTTTAAGCATAGATACTAATATTTCAATTTTAAAGGTAAAATAATAATTGCCTAATTGTAATTTAATTACAATTCATTTTAGATTTTATTAAAAAAGAATGTGAGAAAGAAATAAAGTGGAGAAAA